AGATTATTGTAGCTGCAAAGTGCATTTCTCATCAAAGCACTGAGGCTTCCAAAGAACACACGTTTGTTCCTCAGCATCCTCCAAGGCCTGGAAACCAAGCCCTTTCCCAGGTCCTCTTCTGGGGTAGTGAAAGGATTTGCTGAGGGAAATCGTGCAAGGCTTTCTCTCCATCTGAACTGATAGTGGCCACCAGCCATGACTTACAATCCCATGTCTCAGCTGCCCTTGCCCTACCCTGTGTTAAGTGTAGCCACAGGCACACTCTAAGCTGGACATGTGGCTACAGAACAAGTCCATCACCATCCATCACTGGGCAGTGCTGAGGCAACTGTTTAGAAAAACCCCATTATTTTCCTTGCTTGTCCTGCTAACGAGAATCAGGAAGCACGCAGGTGCTCTGTGACACTGGTTAGAACCTAGCATAGTGGGCCAGATTGGTGAGGCCCGCATAGCCACCACCTGCATCTAATCATTTCTGTCCTCGTCCGCTGCCTTACAGACCAATCAACCAATCCCAGTATCCTCGCCTTACTTCTGCATTGGTAAAACGGGGGCAATCTCATCTCTGGGGAATGGAAGCTAAGCTATGGACTTCCCCACTAGTTGGAGTGTTTGCATGGACCGCTAACTTTTCTAGGCTATAGTATCCTACCCCGGAAATTAGGACACCTATCTCAGGATTGAGTACAAAATTGTAGGAACACCCCCCCACACACACACACACAAAAACACCTCTATATAATTGTAGGTAAAATTTCACATGCAGTCAGAATTTACATGCCAGCATGTCCATACAGAATACAGTAAAACTTAAAGCAGGGACAAGTCCATCAGTAAACTCATTTCCAGGGACCTAAGCAATGAGCTCTGGTGGTGTAGTGGGTAAGGCATTTGGCTGCTAACCAAACCCACCAGCTGCTCCTCGGGAAGACAAGGCAATCTACACCCGTTAATTTACAGCCTTGGAAACACAATGAGGGTCACTATGAGTTGGAATCGACTCTGTGGCAGTGGGTTTAAACGATGATAAATAAAACGTCCACAACAGTCTTTTTAAAAAGAAAACTCAAGAGGACATACTCTGTATTGCAGACTGTTATCACTGCTAAACAACACTCTTGTTGATTTTTGGCTCAAAATATTATGATGTGCACACTCCGCTCTGATCACAACCCGTTCTTTTTAGCCAAAGCCTGATGCTAGCATTTAACAGCATAGAAGAGCAAGTTCAGTTACTAGTTCATAAGCTTACACATACACGCTTTATCATGAACTAAGCTGTCTTCCGTGAGCAGGACACCAAATAGAAGTTCTTCTACTGGCCCAGCAACCTCTGAAATCAAACCGAGTTGACTGGCAGATTCCTTGGGGATACTCTGCCCTAACCTTTCCCTGGTGCAGGGCTCTGAGGGTGCTGACGTGTGAAGCTGGGTCTGCTAGCCTCTAAAGTGGAAGCAGTGGGTCTGGTTATGTAGACGGGGGCAGTCTGCATACCAGCTGTGATGTTTTCTCAGTGGCCCAAGACTCTGGCTAATGCCTCCCCACCCACTGCTGATGCCACAGTGCTCTCCTCACTGAACTCTGCTCTGCGTTTCAACTTGGCAGGCTGGGCACAAGTGGGAAGGAACTGGAAGATACTGGTGGTCAATGATGATCACACGAGTACGAAAAGATAAGTATTAGAAACGTTTATTTGTCAAAAATTAAAAAAAAAAAAATGGGAGGAGCAGAGTTAAAACAAGGCTAAATTTCAGCAAATGCTGCACCACGATCACAGGTCAGACATAAAAAACAAAACAAACAAAACAACCCCCCCAACCCCCAAGGGTCCTAGCAATTTCAGAAGATTAGTTTCAACGTTAAGAGTCCAGAGCTAACAGAAGAGCGAAAGGCTGCCTGCCACTGCTCGGTCACTCTCAGGGACAGGAGGCATTGCAAGGAAGCAGGGAGGCAGGGAGAAGGGTTCAACGCCTAAGAAAGCAAGTAAGGGGTGCAGCATAATCCTTACCTAGGGCTGCTCAGAGGCTGAGAATGTAAGGAACAGAGTGAAAGGCTACAGAGACTAGTACTAGGAAGAAAGGAAAGTCAACTTAGAAGAAGTAAATTAAGAAAGAAAACATAGTTGGTCACAAATTCCTCTGTTTACTGAAACATGAAGCAATGGGAACATCCCGGCAAAGGGGACCGCGGAGCAAGCTCTCCTACATGACCGCAGCCCGAGGGTTCAGTCCGCAATTATCCTACCTGAAAGAGAGCACAACACAGAGGCTTACACAAGGCCGGGGGCAGCTCGGCTCCGAGGACAAGGGCCCTGGTCCCATCCTGTGTTCCGGGGAGGGGGAAACAAAGAACAGAACCAAACCACATCAGTGCGGCTCAAACTTCTACCTCATGTCACTACCTGGGAATCTACTAATTGTGATATCTAGCAATCTACTTATAGTTACACACAGGACAAAGATGCGACCTAGCTGGGGATGGCTGTTGGCGATAAACACTTCTGATTTTCTCACCCCTCTTTTAGGCAACATAACCCCTCTGACAGAGGTTAGTGCTTCTGCAGCAAAAGGCATACATACAACATTCCATGATCAAGAACCACTTAATTTTGGGGTCCAAGAAAAGCAGAAGATGCCCAGTTTTCAAAAATGGCCAACTGCACTGTTCTGTATCTGTTGCCATTTTAATCTCAGTCAGCAAGTTTTCAGAAAGGACAATCACAAGGGGCAGGGCATCAAGGAGCGGTCACTCACCCGTCTCCAACACACTTACATCTGATCATACATTTAGAGCCATAATTCTAGTAGTTTCCCTAATTGGCCAAATAGCCCTCTCCAAATTAACACAAGAAATCACTGCTAAAGTTTTCTAACTCTTCCATTGATGATGGGAACTCCAGTCACCAATGGCTGGGGAAAAAAAGTTCACTCACACCAAGTTTCTCTACTTATTACAGACAAAGGGCCAAAGCTTGGTCTTGATCTGTGCAATCGACTTCAAAGGCTGTGACGCTCTTGGCTCAGTTCTGCCGGGGGAGACCCGAATTGGCTCCCCAACAGCTGTGGAGTATTTCATCCCGGCAGCCTCATTAACAACAGGCTCCTGGGACCGCAACCAACTCAGGGTTAGTCAGTCCGTTTGAGGTTCACACCTGGAAGGTAAGTTTCTTTAAAAGTCATCACTAAACAGAGGTTAGTTTAACCACCACTGCCCGCAGTCAAAACTTCGCTTTAAGATGCCCTAACAACTCTCTTAAAGACCACAGTGGACTAACACTTTGAAATGTATCTGAGAGAAACAGATGTTGTCTGACAGATACCACCTTACTTCTAAGGCACATGTCTCGTCATGGTCGATCAGCTGCATTCAAAGTAAAAATGAACACACAAAAGCTGTAAGATTATGCAACACACGTAAGCACACACTGCTGCCAATGGGCTCAGGAGATCTCAAGTCTTGGAATCATGGTTATTGGTTATCAGGATGTAACTCAGCACACGTTCACACGTTATGTGAAATGCTTTTCATTTCACATAAAAGGGCAATGGTTTTTTTTTCCTCTACATAGAAAACAGAGGGATGAAGTTAGGAGTATTGGAAAACCAGTAGTAACTCCGTTTAACCTCACTACTGGGAGTCTAATTCAAGTGATGCTCAATTTTAAGGCCCAAGAAAAACCATGAGAATGTAAAGGTGTCTTGAGCCATTGCCACTCAGATGAAGAGACTTATTGATCAGTCTCTAACACCCCTAACCATTCTTGCCATTTCAACACCTTTGGTCATTTCCTGAAATAGGAAAAAGAAATTTTCAGGGTCACCACAAATGACATTTTATGCCCATAAAAAACGACACGCTTATCTAATTCCTTATTAAATGCTCCTCCCTGAAACAACACAACTGAACGTGGGTGAACTTGGAGGACATCATGCTGAGGGAAGGAAGTCAATCAAAGAAGGACATATGTTTTATTAGTTCACTGTTATAAAAAGTCAAGGAAAGTTTATATATGGAAGGAGACTTTCTTTGTTGGTTACCAGGGGTAGGAGGGGAGGGGAGGGAACACTGCAAAAAAACAAAAAACAAAAACAACTGAAACAATTAAAAAAAAAATTGTTGGAAGAAATGGAAAGCCTCAGGCTCTAACTGATAACATCAGAGGCTACAAGGGAAGGCACTTGCAGAACTAGGGAGCCTGGATTACTAATAAGGACAGAACTCCCATTGGACAGAGGCACGAAACAGCAGCTTTCAGGTATCTTAGAACTAAACCACCTAAACTTTACAGGGCTTTCTTTGACTTGCAGACATATGAAGTAAGTGTCTCCTTCAACAAAAGCTAAATGGCTCAAGCACAGCAATGCTTATGAGGATGGCACAGGGCAGGGCAGTGATTCGTTCTGTTGTACACACGGTCGCTATGAGTCGGAGTTGATTCGACAGCACCTAACAACAATGCCCAAGAGATAATTTTATTAGCAAACTTGAAGTCTAAAGTTAAGACTCCATTACCAACTCCTGAACCTGCACTCTTCACATCCCAACGATTTTTACAGTGGAAAGAGAAAGAGTTTAGGAATCAGCCAGACCTGAATTTGAATCTTGACTCTACGTCTCAATTTCCAAATGACTACCTCAAAGCTTAGTGTGTAGATTAAAGGACACAATGCGCACAGAAGGCACTCAACCACTGTTAGTTCTTACCTACTGGTCTGTAATCCAGAGCTGCTCACACCTGGTTAAAGAACAGTATTTTCACTAACAAACAGAGTTTGTTATTATTTTCTCCAAAGGAACAAGTTGGCTGGAGTCACACACAAAAACCTCAACAGGCCACAGGAACCTCTGGCTTAAGCTAAAGAAATATTTAAGACTTGTGCCTTCTGCATACCATCCCAACAGCACACAGCTGGCTCTAGCCTCCTTGATCAAGTATGGGTCTCTTTCGAGAGAACTAAACGGATTCGTAGCCACACCCACCCCACTCTCACCTCCAGTCTTTAAAATGCTGAGTACCGTGCTCGGTCCACATACTGCTCCCGCTCATACCGAACCATGTCATACAGAGAATTCCGGGCAGCTGCTGATGCCTGAGACAGCTCACTTTCTGGCCCATAACCGTAACCCTCTCCGACCGTGGGGAGCACAGCTGCAGTGCGCCGCAGGGGGCTCCTGTCCCGTCCGTAATAGGAGGTGGTGGCAGCGGCTGCAGCCATGGCAGCGGAGGTGGCGGCAGCACCCGAGTTTGGCAATAGGTGTCTGTCGTAAGGATCGACAGAAGCGGGGTTGAGGTGACTGGTTACAGCTGTGTTCTGGACTTGAGGCAGATGGGACACGGTCTGCTCCGCGTAGTTGTACGCGGACGCTGCCGCTGCCGCTGCCACTGCCTCGTAAGAGCGGACCCGGTAACGCTTATAGTAGTCGAGCGCTCCATAGGCATCGTTGTAATACACGGTCTCCCCGTAGCCCATGGTGTAAGGCGTACGCACTGCTCCATACTGTTCATTGTACTGCTCGCTGAAGTCCGCCACACGCCCCGTGCGGTCTACTGGGCACTCTTTGGACCAGTGCCCCTCTTTCCCGCACCGATAGCAGCCGCTCTGGTCTCCCATCCCAGGGGCAGTCCGAAGACGGCTGGTGGACAACTGCACATGCATTCGTTTGCCTTGAGGAAATAGACGTAAGAAGATTTATTGTAACTCATTAACTTTGCCTCTCCTCCCCCAAAGGAAAGTAAACTAGTTGGTATAAGGCACACAGACATACATGCACTCCTGTGATCTTATCTCAGTAATCCTCTCAAAAAGAAGCTGAAGTTTTAATACACATGAGACCTAGAAACCATGAATCCTCAGAGGCCAGTCGATACTTTCTACTGAGCCCAGCAGTGAACTAGGCTCCTTTCTACTTCTATCTCCACAACCCTTCTCCCCTCGGCCCCACAACAACTGACAAAGCTTCCAGTTCCCACCGCTAAGACTGTTAAATTAGTAACTGTCATTCAAAACCCACCAACACTTCCAAATCACACGTCCACCACCACCTCAGTTCTGCAGATTTGGAAAGTATCTTACCAACCTCCACTGATGGACACTTATGGGCACAAAAGGCCTGAGCATTTACTGTGGCTTAAAAATCGCGTGACCTTCTTTCCAGCTGCTTCCTCCAGCCATTTCTCCAGGTGTTGCCAGAGGGCACGCTATGTTGGGGACACAATCGTACTTGCTCACCAGCTGCTTCACTCTCCAGTGCCATGGGGCATAATGAGACCTTCCAGAGTTCAAGCCCACCCCCACTGTGTCAGCAAGGGTGAATCCATACCTAACAATTCCCCTTAGACATATTTTTCTTTTTTTATCCAATCATACATAAAAAAAAGCTACGGACATGCAGCATCTGTACCTAACTTTAACTGCATTCTGTTTACTCTCTGCAAAGAGTGAAGCTCTTTTTCCTCCTCTCCACTGTCCATGATCCCCTCCCAACCAAATGAAAATAACGAAGACTCAGTTTCAAGGGGACCTGGAGTGCAACACCATTCCAAGACAGTGGCCGTAATAAAGTCAATGTGAATCAGTAAATACACAAAGAAAGCCAATGGGTCACCTTTAAGGAACTTGCCAACTGCCATAGCAGCACTCACTGTTGCACACCACACTCACTCTGACCATGCAGTGTTGTCACAGTCAGAACCCCTTCCCACCTATTACCTTATCAGCCTCGCTAGCATCCTGTGAGGAGGTACTGCACGGATCATTACCTCTATTTTGTAAGTGAGGAAAACGAAGCAGAGAGGTTAAATCACCTGCCCAGTCATACCACCAGTTAATGGCGGCAAGGATCTGCAACTTTTTTTTTTTTGCCTTTCTCTCCCAAGAGTACCTAAAAGGCAGGGCTGGTGCCCAAGCTACAGATGGGCTCCTCTGCCAATCACAGCTGTGCTGCCAACTTCCTAATCCTTTTCTGGTTACCGTTTCCTCTTCTCCCATTACTTCTTTTCTCAGTCTGGCAGAGAACCCTTACGTACTTCTTAACAACTCTTTTAGTGGTACTCAGCCCAAAAAGGGTATTGACTTACATACCAGAAAAGTGGCCGTGCATGTGTGGTCTCGAATGATACTGTCAACAAAAAGCTTGTAGAGCAGTGCTGTCCAACAGAACTTTTTATGATGATGGAAATGTTCCATCTGTGCACTAACATGGTCACCACTAATACAGCAGCCTCGTGTGGCTGGCTACTGAGTGCCGGAAATGTGGTCAGTACAACTGAGGAAAACAATGTTAAATTTGGTTTCATTTCAACTAACTTCAATAGCTGCAGTGGCTAGTGGTTACCATGCTTTTCGGCACCGTTCTAGAAGGTCTCCAGAGGATCTCCTGTGATATTAATAACAACACATGTACCTTTATTATTGGTATAAATAACATGATATGCTTCATGCTGTCCTTAGGGAAATCTGCCCAGAAGTAGCACCCGGATGCCCACTCAGTCCAACCTTTTTTTCTCCTTAGGTGTCTCTCCCCCTCCCCCAGGGCTAATGAACAGAAGGTGGAGAAGGACAGGGCATTTTCTTTGCTCTCTGCTTGTAAAGCCCCCACCCGACCCCACTGTTGTTGAGTCGATTCTGACTCACAGTAACTCTAGAGGATGAAGTATAACTGCCCAGAGGGTTTCCAAGTCTGGAATCTTTCTCCTGTGGAATGGCTGGTGGGTTCGAACCACCAAACCTATCGGCTGGCAGCCGAGCACTTCAACCATCGCGCCACCAGGGCTCCTTGTATAGTCCCCAGATGGAGCAAAGCTGAGCACCCACAAGACACTCCCCTAAATCCCAATTCACCACTCCAACGTCTAAGGCTTCCTCGAGATGTCCCTCCCGTCTACCACTAGACATCACCCAAGGCAGTGAAGAGTACCAATCCCAAGCACTGAAACCCTGAACTATGAAGGCTCCAGTCCTAACAACAGAAGCAGGCGAGCCACAGACCTCAAGCCTTCCTTCCTTCTTTCTCCCAGGAAGAGGGATCTATTTGCCCAATGGCGCTCAACGCATGAAGCCTGTGGGACAAAGTAACCCAGTTTGTGATTCTGTGCAGCTGTTCAGGAGTGTCTTGGCAAACCTGAAAAGCAGAAACTGTGCACAAGAGCATGAAACATGTCTTTGGCTGCCAACAAGTCTATTCCAACTCACAGTGACCCCACGTGTGCAGAGGGAAACTGCTGCATAGGATTTGCAAGGCTGGGCTCTTTCAGAAGCAGACTGCCAGCTCTCACTTCTGAGGTGCCTCCACGTGGGTGTGAACCACCAGCTTGTTGGTTAGTAGGCCAGTCCTTAACCATATGTGCTACCCAGGGATTCACGCAGTAAACCTAACACGATTTGCATTATTTCCAGCCAAAACAAGATGAAAGAGATCACTCCACCAGCCCCCCCCCCCAGTTTTGTGTTCTCTCCCCTTGTCTTAAGCCAGTCCCTACCCAGCTCTGCCACCCAGGCCCCAGAGCAGTTCACCTTGAAACTCTGTGTTGTCAAGGCCCCTGATGGCCTCGACCGCATCCTCCGCCCGCTCCATGTGTACGAAGGCATAATCCTTCACGATGTCACATTCGATGACAGGACCATACTCCTCAAACTTGGCCCGAAGCTCCTGGTTGGTACAAGTGGGACTGATGTTGCCCACGTGTAACTTGGTGGAAGCCTTGCTCTTATTCTTGCTGGCTTCCACGTTGATGTTCACCCCGTGCAGCTTGTAGTGGTGCAGGTTGCGGATGGCATCCTCAGCCGCCGTCTTGTCCTCTATGTGCACAAAGCCGTAGTTCTTAATGATGTCACATTCCAGCACCTTCCCATACTGCTCAAAGAGGGAGCGGATCTCCTGCTCTGTGGCCTCCCGGGGCAGGTTTCCGATGAACAGCTTCACCATCCTGACAACAGCCTGGGACACAAAAAAGTTGGGCATGGGAAAGGGCCAGAAATCCCAGTGCACTGCATTTTAGTTTAATCACCCGGAGAAGTTACTGGCACCTTCCAGACTCTCACACAGACGTCCATTATTCTTTCTCAGTAGAGGGAGACACGTTTGTTCTTACGGAGTCGTGTGAGCTAGGTGTGACAAGAAGTTGGAGGTCATCTCCACAAAATGCACATTTAAATAACAGGTTTAGCCGTTTCATGTCTTAAAATATTTTACTTTTTGAAGCGTGGAGGCCGAGGGAAGAGTCCACGCAGAAGGTGAGAGGCACGTATCTGAGTGTCCCTGGTAACAAGGTTTTGGAGGGAAATCTGTGTACCGCTCCTCTGAGCGGTATCTCCGTTCAAGATACTTAAAAAAGAAAAAGGCCTCCTTTGGAATCAAACTGGGACGCCCCAGCGGTCCAGCCTCCAGCTCCTACGCCCCAACAAAAGCCTCAAGCCGACCCCTGCCCCGCCTCCGGAGACCCGGACCCGCCTCCTTCCGTTGTCTCCCCGGACCTCCCGCAGCAAGAGAACCCCAAACCCTGGGCCGTCCCAGTTCGAGAGAGCCCCAGCCTGGCCTGGCCCCGGGCTCCCCACACACCCACAACACACCCCTCGTACCTCCGGGTGGCGGCGGCGGTGGCGGCGGCTCCCGCGTCAGAGAGAACCCGACAAAATGGCGACGGCCGCTCGAGCCTCGGCGCGACCGGGCCCTTTCTCGCGCGCCGGCTCACGCACGCGCGGGTGCGCGCTGCCGCCCACTTCTCCTCCTCGCGGGAGCGGGCCGACCAATCCCGCGGCCGCACACAAACAACTGCCTGAGGCTCGGTTCCCAGCAGCCCCCGCACGGGGGCGGGGCTAGGTGGTGACGGCACTGCAGAGGGAAGGCCGGCCCGGCCCCAGCTCCCGGTCAGCCAATCACCGCCCTGAAAGGGAAGTCGGCGCTCTCGCGTCAGAAGGACTCGGGGTGCAACCACTATCTAGGTGAAATCAGAAGCCCGGGGAGTCACTAACCATCACAATGTGTCGTGCTATTGCACTATCCCGGGAGGAGGAGTGATGACAGAAGGTTACTGGTCCCCTCAAGGGGGCCTGCTTCTGGGGTTGGCCAGCCCCTCCAGGAATTTGGGGTAACATTTCTGATATGCAGGAGCGCCACATTTTAAGCAAACCTGGTTATTTTTCTTCTTAGAGCTTTAAAAGTAATATTTTTAAAAAGTTCACGTTTAATTAATGTGAGAAAACAGAGAACCAAGAAGCAGAAAGCTGGTCTTTGGCAGAGCTGGGACAACTGGATAGGGGCGTCTCTATCCGGGCTGCGCTGTCAGGTTTTGTTGGCTCGTGTGTACGTGGGCTGGTTTTTGTCTCTGATTGCGTGTCCCTCGCAGTTCCGGGTCCGTGAGGAGCGCACTAAAGCAGTGCTTGCTGCAGAGGCCCGGAGAGGGGCATTGTTCTGGGGCACGACGAGGTCTCACTTCCACCCCAAGTTAACTGGAGGTCCAGGCGACTGCGAGTCCCCGGCACTTTTCGACGTTCAAACTCCAGCTGTGGTCCAAGGGCACCTCCTGGTGGCCAAAGAGAAGCTACTGGCTAGATCACTCACTGTCACGCTCGAACAGGGCCTAGACGTTTATTGGAGACTGATGGATAGACTGTGTGAGAAGAGTGTGCCAAGGTGTTTATCAGTCGGGTTCTGAGGGGGGAGGGGTGGCGCCATTCCTCGTTACGGTGACTCCATGACAGAGTCTGTGATACTATGAAGCACAAGTTCCCTGTGCTACCTACCCCTCTTCCGTCCTAGCTCCACTGCCATCGTATCGATTCCGACTCATAGCGAGTCATAGGACAGAATAGGACTGCCCCAAAGAGTTTCCAAATTTCATCGTTCTCCCGCGGAGCGGCTGGTGGGTTCGAACCGTAGACCTTTTCTTTAGCAGCCAAGTGCTTTATCCACTATGCCACCATAGCTCCTTATTGATTTATGCAGTTACTATTCATTAGTATTTATTTACGTTTACTTTTCTAGTGTTTTTCATTCCTTCCACATTTCCATGTTTCCAGCTATTGGAAATAAATGATTAGATATATTTCTTTCACTGAGTTCTTGTTTTCAGCCTTTCAGGAGGGGCACTGCCTTTCCACTGTCAATAAACGGCTCTCAACGCTGGTCTGCTCCTACCTCAGTCTACCTGGTTCTCCCCTTCCCTTCTCCTTCGGCGTTTTCCGTTTCTCTCGACACTCAACCTTTTAAAATATTGGTGGGGACCGCCTCCCGCATTTCCAAAATAGCTTTCCTTCACCATATTTTCTTTTCTTTGCCCCTAACTTGAATTTCTTCTCTTGTGTTCCGGGACAGGCTTCTCCAATGGACAGTCTGGATCCGACGTCATCCATCTTTATCCTGTGTTTAGGGTTCTGTCTTCTCTAATTCCTGAATGTTTCACCCAAACCAATGGCTTCTTCAGTTTCCATCATTCTAAGTCTTTCATTGCGTCCACCACCCTTCCCTCTGTTTTTTTTTTTGCGATCGTTCTCATAGCTCGGCCTCCATTGTTCAGTCTCTTCTTTTTTTTTTTTTTTTTTAGTATTTATTTCCTTTTACCTCCTTTCTCCTTCCCCTCTACCATTCTAATGAGTTTGTGTATTGTTTTATCTGTGTTCTTGCAAAACATGTCTTTTTAATGTGCATGTGTTTTCTTCAAAGAATTTTTATTATAGAAATTTTCAAGCGGGCTCCAACACAGTCCTGCCGACACTTTGCCACGAGCTTCCACAATTATCAGTGTTTTGCTGAGCTTGTTTCATTTAGCCTCTCGGCTTTTTCCTTTTTTTTTTTTTTTTGGACTGGAGTATTTTAAAGCAAATCTCAGTCATAATGTCATCTCATCTGTAAAAATATGTCACTATCTGTGTCTAATTAGAACAGCATAATGCCATTATCACAGCTAAGAATTTAAACCCCAGAATAACAGGTCAATGTCCGTGGATGGTGCAAACGGTGAACGTACCTGGCTGGTGACCGAAAGACTGGAAGAGTGAGTCTACCCAGAACTTCCTTGGAAGAAAGGCTGCAATCGGCGTAAGAATCAGCCGCTGAAAACCCCCAAGCACAGCTCTGCTCTGACGCAGACGGGCCGCCATGAGCAGAGTGGACACCACAGCAACTGGTCGTATCATCTGATTGTCACATTCAGAATGCCCCTAGATCGTCTCAAATGTGCCTTTACAGTTAGTTTCTTCTAATTCGGATCTAACCCAGGTCCACTCACTGTCCATTTCTATATGGAAGTGGCATTGTGTTCTGTAGCTCCTTGCTTCTTACTTTTTCCACTAAGTTCCTTGTTGCTGTGTTTTTTCTAACATCATGATGTGCAGCCACCATCTCTGGGTATAGGACTCAAATGACCGTCAACACCCCACTGTTATAAACAACGCTGCAAATTCATTTCCTTGTTCATGTGCCCTAATGGAGCTGTGTGCAAATTTGGGGGCAGGGGCTATGAAGCCAGGACGGAGTCCTGGTGGTGTAGTGCTTAAAGCAGTTGACTGCTGACCAGAAGGTTGGTGGTTCAAATCCACCAGATGGGAAAATTTACTTCCGTAAAGAATTACTGCCTCAGAAATCCAATGGGGGTCGCTATGAGTCAGAATCGACTTGATGGCAGTAAGGTTTTTTTCTTTTTGGTATGAAGCCAGGAAGAAGCCCTAGTGGCACAGTGGCTAAGTGCTCATCTGCTAACCAAAAGGTCAGCGGTTTGAACTCACCAGCTGCTTTGTGGGAGAAAGATGTGGCAGTCTGCTTCCATATAGATTACAGCCTTGGAAACCTCGTGGGGCAGTTTTACTCTGTCCTACAGGGTCCAGAAGAACGAACAAATCTGTCCTGAGAGAAGGGCTGTGGAATGCTCCTTGGAAGTGAGAATGTCCAGATTTCACCTCACCAGCTTTGGTCAGCTTGTCGGAAGGGACGGCCCTGGAGAAGGAGGTCATGCTTGGTAAAGTGGAGGGTCAGCAAAGAAGGGGAAGACCCTCAATGAGATGGACTGACACAGTGGCTGCAACGATGGGCTCGGGTACGGCAAGGATTGTGAGGCTGGCACAGGACCGGGTAGTGTTTCGTTCTGTTGACGGCACCTAACAACAGTAACAACAGAGTCTCTATGAAGGAACTGTGGTGGTGTAGTGGGTAAGACATTTGGAGGGTCAGAAGTTCAAACCCACCAGCTGCTGCTCAGAAGGACAATTTGGCAATCTACTTCCATAAAGATTTGCTCATTGGGGTTGCTATGGGTTGGAATCGATTGATTCCATGGCAGTGGGTTACAGGGTCTCTGTGAGTTGGAGTTGACTTCGGGGGAGTGAGCTTTTTTTTTTTTTTTTTTGGTTATAAAGCCAGGAATGGAATTGCTTGGTTGTTGGGTCATGAGGTATACCTAGAACTAAACCTTAGTCATGTTCTCTGGAAAAGCTGTTATGTCTACCATCCCACCTATACCAGGTGAGGGACCTTGTGTCTGTACATCTTTGTCAATGTTTGACGTTACCCAGTTTTCTGATTGTTGACAATCTAATACCAAAAAAACTCACTGCCGTCAAGTCAGATCCAACTCATAGCGACCCCTCCTTGGGTTTCCAAGGCTGCATCACTATGGAAGTATATCGCCCAATCTTCCTTCTGGTTAGTAGTCAGATGCCTTAGGCACTACACCACCAGAGCTCCCTTGACAATCTAATAGGTAGGTATAATCTATATCACTATTGCTTTAATTTGCATTTTTAATTACTAATGCTTTTAAGCAACTCTTCTTGTTAAGTGCTTTGGGTTTATGGTTCCTGTCCTCTGCCCATTTTCTTCTCAGGTTGCAGTCTCCTGTTGTGATTTGCAGGCTTTTCTTGCATATTATTAATTTTCAGTGCCTCAAATACTACCTTCTCTCAAACTACCAAGTATTAACTCTGTCCATGTGTCCTTCATTGAACAGAGAGCC